ATAAGGATAAAAGGAGAACTGAGATAATCAAGTCATCTTATGTTTCCCACCTATTTCTTGTGGTGGAGAACTATGCCATTATTATACAGTATAGCACCTGGATAAGAAATATTATTAAATATTAAACATTTAAAATTTAATACGGAATTTGGTTTCTTCTTTGCTTTTAAAAGTTTCCTAGCAGCAGTTATTTCTCAAGTGTTAGACTCTCCATTGGGGTAAGAAGTTGGAACTTCTAAGATAATTTGTTGAATAGGCTGTATTAAACAAATATTTATTGAATGCCTCTTTTGATTGGAGCACATAGTCCTCAGCCCATCTAGTGTTTAATAGGTTAGGCCACAGGAAGTTCTTTCTAGATAAATGGAAAACTCAGGAGAAAGCAAAGTCAGGGAGAACAAGTGTAAATTACGAGCCTGTGAGGAGCAAATTCAGGTCAGACTCTATCTGGGTCGAGACAATCTCTTCACTTCCCGTTCAGACAGTGGGGTAAATCTCTGACCTTGAAATCCAAGGCTCCCAGAAGAGCTAAGACTTTCATGAGCTCTAGAAAAGAACCCTAATTTGCAGGATGAGGAAATGGAAGCAATGGTTCAGACCAGCTCCAAAGGGTAGCTGTGCTCTCTCTCAATAAGAAATCAGCTAGAAATGTGCCTCAGGTAAATACAGCCAAAATACAGAGTACAAAATACAACACCATGACCAGCAAAATAAAAGAACCATGTGATGCATGCATGGTAACACAGATGTAAACTTGCTATTTAGAATACTAAGGAAAATTATGAAGTGCAGTTTATTAAGATCTTTATTGTAGGATAGCTTATTTCCTGTAGAGTAGAATTCTATTCCCAGTTTTGGTTGTAATAGTGTAGCTAAGTGAGGATTGGGAATAGATATCAGAAGGACTTTCTTGAAGTGTACTTTCAAAACTCTAAAGAAAAAAAAATATTGTAAATATTTCTGAGAGGTAGCATCTGAGTACGTCTCTGCATTAAGCAATTGCAGTCTGGACCCAGCCACCTTATCTCTATCGATTTTTCTTACCTGTCCATTTATTTCAAAACTCAAACGTAATTAATAATGTGTTTTTGTTCATATGTGAATAATTGTTCATATGTGAATATGATGTGAATTTGAATATAATATCCACCTAATAATAAGGCTTGGGGCTTGCTAAAAACTCTTCAATGCAAAACTGATAACTGCTTTATGCAGATAATACAGGACATTTTTGCTGACTTTTGTAAAATAACCTTGTATCTTGGGCTGTGCTAGGATTGATTAATTCTAGTAGTTATTTTTATATTTCTTATCATTTTTTATGCAAGCAATTAAGTAATCTGAAAATAGAGAGTTTTATTTCTTCCTTTTGCATGTTTATGAATTTATGTCTTTTTCTTGCCTTACTGGAAGGGTTAGGACAACCAGTATAATGTGGAGTGGAGGTAGAAAGAGTGGGCATTCCTGCCCTGCTTCTATCTCAGGGAGAAATTACTCAGTATTTCACTATTAAGTATGACATTAGCTGTAGGTTTTCTATAGATCATCCAGAAACGAAAATTTTTCATGTAAAAAAATCCGTTCAGAAAAATCTAATTCATCTTATACGTTATTAATTTCCGTTTTCAAGTATTTAAGTAATGAAAACCCAAGTAATTTCTTTTTTAATAACACATTTATAGACTGAGCTTCAAAGATAAGAAAAGATTAATTTAAGATAATGGATATACTTTTCTGTCCAAAGATATCAAAACCAAGAAATAACATTATAATCACAAAAGTGGTATGCAACAGAAAAGAAAAAAATGGTTCAATATAATGAACGTCTTCTTTAAAAAAACAAAAACAAAACAAATAAAACATATTTTCTTAATATGTGCCCAGCCAAACTCCATTCTAAAATCTAATAGGCTGAAGAAGAAAAATCAGAGTAAATCTATTCGAAAATAAAGATAAAGCTGCTTTACCAAATATTTCTAATTCTTTTTTCTCTGTGCATAATAATTACCAGCACTTGCCTCCTTTTCTGTGGAGTGGTACAAGTTGCTGCCAATGACGAAACTTTCCTCCTAGCATAAAACATTGTTAACTTTCTCTATCAACTAAATGACTGATTAATATTAAGTCTGTATCACTTTTGAATGTAATAGAAAATGCTTACTAAAAGCAATTTAAAGCAGAAAAGCAAACTATTAGATAGTATTCTTGTTTACATTATAAAGTAAGGAATTCATAAAATGGTACAGGGCCTTGTGTGTAATCTAAAAGAAATGTCTGTAATTTAAAAAGTGGAGGTTTCTGACTTTTAATTCAGAATATTTGGGGAAACTTTCTTTTCTTTAAATCCGGAAGGCTTATTAACACACATTTATGAAGCTGAAATGAAGTTAAGATAAATGTTTTAGTAGAGCAAAAATGGAAATAGCTGTAATTAAAAGATTACTTATGTCTTTTCTATCTTTTACAATCCATAATGAACAACTTTATTTACAGAAGCCAACTGAGATATGCTTAAATTGAACTAAGAGCTATTATTTATCATATCTCATACACATGGGGTTTAGAGTCACATTGAGATATATACAATTTCAGGGCTTTTTCTTCTTTTTTGGTAGGAAAAGGTTAATAATAACCCTGAAAATAGGAAAGGGCAAGACTTCAGTTTGCAATCAATAAGTCATATTTTTAACCTTTTTGACTTAGAATCAAACAATGGAGTTCTGTTAATATAACAGTGTATTAACTTACTGCTTCCAAGAATCTAAACTTAAAAAAACTAATGTCCAACTAAAGAATTAAAGTCATATCAGGCACTGAAAGACTATATAAATAAGAACTGTCATTAACATAACTGATAAACCCTATTTCCAGTTCCTCTGTTATCCCACTGTGCAGTCAGCACTGCTGACTATTTCTAGTCCAAAACCAAAGAGCTAGATGATTTCCTGGCACACAAGTTTCTACCAAAGGAAAGAGAATGAGAAACGATATACACTCTTATCACACTCTCCTATGTAAGATAAAATTCACGCTAATTTACAAATTTTTATTTACATTGTTTTATATACATCCTAGTTGATGAGTTTTGTACTCATATTGATCTCAGATGATCATTTACTACCACATCTCTTTGATTTTCCAACAGAAAATGGTGGAAGCATGGGATTAGGAGAAAAAAATATATACCACTGGTCAGGTAAGAGCAGACAAGCATATAAGGTAAAAAGAGGGAAAAAAAATTGTTGAATTTTGCTTGTTAAAGCATCCACTGTGATCCATGGACTACCACTGAACGTATATGAACACCACTTGTAACAGCCATTTTCATATTTACAAATTGGGTATCCTATCAGTTCAATTATTAGCTAAACCATTCAATTTCTTTTGCTTAACATAAAAAGGTAACAGGCATCTCAGCAAGACAGAAAACAAACTAGAAGGGTACTTAAAAAACACTGTTGAGACTTAACCTTCATTTAGAAGCTCTTAAATGGTCCATATAAAGAGAAGCAATTTGGAACCCTATTACTGACTTGCACCATGATCCCAAAACCTGTATGGGAAGTAAGAGTATCTCAACACCAAAAACACCCCAAGTCTCACCAAAGAGTGGGGGCAATATCGTAAACATCTTACTTTGTTCCTATCATCCACTGCATACACGTACGGCTACAGTGACAGCCCTTATTCCCCGTTACATTCACTTCTACACAAATCTCTCTGAAAATCTGCAATAGCGCCACAGCAAGCAGCTGTGCACAGTCTTCCGGCAATGGCTCAGTGAATCTCCATTCAAAATGCTTGGAAGTAAGAATATGGAGTAAGATCAAAAAATGATCTTCTTTCCTCCCATAGTTCTCCAAGATATACTGTTGTACTTTAAGAGGTTGGTAAGCTAAAAAAATATAGAGTATTACATATCCTTGATAGTTCTATAAAAATGTTCCAACTATAGATGAAAATTCCACAAAAACACACTTTTGAGTTCACCCTAACACTTTAAAAAATTAATTGTTTAAGTGGTTCCATTTATCTAATCAACTAGGCAAAATCTATTGATTTTAGAGTAATACAGTTCATAAAAGCAAAAGTGAACATTTATAACATTGGGGAGGCAGAAAACAAATCCTGGTCTAACACTGTTATGGATACAAACAGACTTTAAGATTCTATATATGTAACTAGAATTTGCCATTTAAAATGGCCTTTAGCTGTTTTTACTTACATTAGCGTTAAACATCTTGAAATAATTCCAAGTATTTTAAAGCACTTGTCTGAGAATATAAGGCACCTGGAATAATAGAGCTAACTCCCCATAAGATTTCTCAGAGAATAAATTTGTGGCTGCATATTTTGAATACGCAGATCCGTTAAGCCAATTTTGTGCATGGGCACTTATATGACCAAAGCGCAAGCCTTGTCAGACTAATTTTCAAAGCAAAGTTAAATATCACTACCAAACTCTACACAGCAATTTTTGAAACCTGATACTTATCAATCCCAAAGGATAGATATCTAACTTCCTTCCATATAAATAATTGCCTCCCTTTCATCCCCAAACAAAATAAAAAATACACTTAAAAACAAGGCAAGACAAAATAAAACCACATAAGCCCTTCTGCTGTATTTCTGCTTAATTCACATTTTGTCCTAAATGTTCCTTACTGAATCCTTTTAGTCACCTCCACATATTTCTCTGAACTTACATGCATCAATCATTAGCTGTCACTCTAAAGACAAGGAACCAAACTAAAATATGAAACCAAAATTAAGTTAGAAGTAAAAATAATTAATCTGATATTTCTTTGGCCCCAAGTATGATAAACTTGCTACATTTGTTTAGAAAACTGGTAATAAAAATCACTATTTAATAACAAACAGAGGCCCAGAACATTCCAATAAGTTAATTATTTGCTAAGAGGCGCAGCAGCGGGCAGGTGCGCACCATTTGATTTCGGTCATGATCTATTCCTGGAATTTACCAAGAAAAGATGACTCACCTAGGAAATTCTTTGGTGAGCTTAACAGGTCTCAAATCTCTAGATCTCTCACGAAACTCCTTGGTTAGTCTGGAGGGTATCGAGGTCCTGACTCTCCGGAGAGCCTCAACCTCTGCTACCAGCGTATCTCCTCCCCGGTGGAAGTGTTCCGCCTCTGCTGCTTGACTTCCGGCTGAACCCGGCGGTGAAGAGCGAGTCTGACTCCCGCCTCTTCGTCGTGCGCATGCGCCCGGGGATAGGCTGCGCGGGAGCGAGGCTGGGGGCGGGGGTTGGTGCTGGACGACCGCCCTGTGAGGGAGGAGCGAGCAGTAAGCGTCCTGGCTGCATTTTACTTCGATGAGGAATCAATGGCCTCAAAGCAGAGCTTCCCAGCCGTTTTCAGCGTCGAAAGACCGCGCCACTCCAGAGCCAAGTGCACTGCCCCCTCGGCCAAGAAGTGCTCGGTCATGGACGCAGATGACGAGGTGGTCCTGAACCTCATTGCCAAGTGCAAGCGGGACTTGAGCAACCCTCCGGGGAGTGCGAGCTCCAGCTGGAAGGAGTGAGAGGCCGGCTTCCAGAGCTCCCAAGAATCGCAGCCCCTGCCGAGTCCTCAGGCAGTACAGCACCAGTGTGGGGACTCCCGGTGGCAGGGCCCCCGAGAAGAAGAGGAGCGTGCGGGCGTGCGAGGGCCGTTTGTGCAGAACCGGGGCTGCAGGACAGCGAATTGGCGAGCGTCCCCCTCTCCCGCCTCCCCCAGCTCTTCGCCCCTCCCTCAGCCTCCACCGACCTTGAGGACGCAGTCCCTTCTTTGGAGTCGAATTTGTTGACCCAAAAGGTGTTACATCCCTTGCCCGCTCCCAAAAAAGTACAGGAAGTGAAGGATGCCAGGCGGGAGGTTCCGGGTGCCTTCAGACCAGTAGTGTCTGAGCTGCCTGAAGGAGGGTCTGAACCGGAGGAATGGTTTGGAGGGCTGGAGCGAGGCGCCCTGGCCCACGGTGGAGCTCGTTGGAGCGTGAGAGCAGAGCCCCCCCCCCCCCCCCCCCCCCCCCCCCCCCGCGCGCGCCCCCCCCCCCCCCCCCCCCCCCCCCCCCC